TAACTCATCTAATTCTAATTCTTGGGTGCTTGATATAGGTTGTGGTATTCACATTTGTACTGATTTGCAGGGCCTAAGAAGAAGTGAGCAAGTGGAGCACAGGTAGATAAACTTTGTCATGGGCAATAGGAAAGCATCACCTTTTACCAAGATATGAGTTTATTCTTTATTGCTAAATAATGGGTTAATGTTAGATTTGAATAAATGTTCTTACTCATCCGAAATGGTGAGAAATATTATTTCCTGTCATGGCTTGTACGAACAAGGGTTTACATTTTCATTTGAAAATAATAATGGTGCTACTAATGTTTATCACGATGATTTATTTTACTTTAAAGCATTACCTTGTGATGGTGTATATGAAGTTGTGAATGTTGTAGAGAATCTAGGGAATAATGTGTTGTATATTGATTCTTCAAATAGCTTGGATAAAACATCTTTATGGCATTGTCATCTTGGACATGTCAGCAAGAAGGACATCGGCCAACTCCAAAATGCTAGAGTTTTGGAATCATTTGACCTAAATTCGGATGATAGTTGCGAGTCTTGCTTACTTGGAAAAATGAAAAAGTCACCCTACAGTGGCACTTGTGAGATGGGTGAAGGTTTGTTGGACTTCATACACAGATGTGTGTGGACCATTCAAAACTGCCACAAGGGATGCTAATCAGTATTATGTGACTTTTACTGATGATTACAACAGATATTGATATATCTACTTAATCAAGCATAAGTCATAAACCTTTGAAAAGTTCAAAGAGTTTAAACATGAAGTTGAGAATCAATTAGGTAGGAACATCAAGATGCTCCGATCCGATCGGGGAGGAGAGTATCTTATCATTGAGTTCCTTGAATATCTTAAGGAATGTGGGATTGTCTCATAATTGACACCTCCTAGAACAGCACAGTTGAATGGTATGGCTGAGAGGCACAATCAAACCTTGTTGGATATGGTTCGTTCCATGATGAGTCGAGCTTCGTTACCAATCTCTTTTTGGGGGTATGCCTTAGAGACTACCGCCCATATCCTTAATCTAGTCCCTACTAAAACGGTTGCCGAAACACCTCACGAGATGTGGACTGGGAAAGTTCACAATTTAGACCACATCAAGATTTAGGGGTGTGAAGCTTTCGTGAGGTGTGAGACTCATGATAAGCTTGAACCTCAAAGTGAGAGGTGTATTTTCATCGGCTACCCACAAAGATCCTTTGGTTACCTCTTCTACAGACCCAATGATAATGAGTTCTTTCGAAATAAAGTGGGATCAACTGAACCTGCTTTATCTAAAGAATTCGAAGATTTGATGAAAAGCAAATTTGAAATGAGTATGATGGGCAAAATTAATAATTTTTTGGTCTTAAATATTAGACAAAACAGGGATGGCATATTCATCAATCAAGAGAAATACACGAAGAATCTGTTGGAAAAGTTTGGAATGACGAATAGCACAAGGTTACGAATACCAATGGCAACGAGCATAAAGCTAACTCCTTCGTTAGATAAATATGCTGTTGATATTACTTTATATCGAAGCATGATTGGGTCTTTATTGTATTTAACTGCAAGTAGACCTGATATTATGTACTCGGTTTGTAAATGTGCTAGGTATCAATCAAATCCACGAGAACCACATCTCACAGCAATAAAGAATATTTTCAGATACTTAAAAGGCACTACTTCGTTAGGATTGTGGTATCCTTCGAAAACAGGGTTCTTTGTCCATGCTTATTCAGATGCGGATCTTGGAGGATGTAGTCTTGATCGTAAAAGCACAACTGGTGGGTGTCAATTGCTAGATGGAAAGCTGGTCAGCTGGCAATCGAAGAAGCAAACTTGTGTGTCAATATCAACCGCTGAAGCTGAATATGTTGCTGCAGCTGCGTGTACATCACAAATAATTTGGATTCAAAGTCAATTAAGAGATTATGCAATTAATATAAAAAAGATTCCATTATATTGTGATTCACAAAGTGCAATAAGAATTTGTCATAATCCTGTGCAGCATTCAAAGACAAAGCACATTGCTCTTTGATATCATTTCATCAAAGATCATGTTGAAGAAGGCAATATTGAAGTTCATTTTGTGAAAACAACGGATCAATTAGCAGATATTTTTACAAAGGCTTTGGATGAAAAAGCGTTTCTTCGGATATTAGATGGTTTGGGAATGATTGATGGAAATTCTCTTCACATCACTAAAAACGAAGGGTGATAGTCTGAGTCATTTGGTGAATGGGTGGAAAGAATGATTAAGTGTTCAGAGGCTACTGTTCATGGTCAACGCTTTGAACGCTTCGCATTCGGAAGTTTCTAACAAATCATCAGAGGTTACTATTCAAGTCAATGCTTCGAATGCTTCGTATTCGGGATATTTTCAACACACTTCAACTAAGGTTAGATTTGTTTTTAATTTTTTTGAAAAATCTGAAAAATCAAAAATATTTTCCTTAATTTTTGTTTTTTAATTTTGAAAAATTAAAAATCCAAAAATATTTTATTTTTGTTCTTTAATTTTGAAGAATTACAAAAATCCAAAAATATTTTATTTTTGTTCTTTAATTTTGAAAAATCAAAAATCCAAAAAGATTTTAATTTTTGTTCTTTTGTTTTGAAAAATTCAAAAATCACAAAGATATTTTTGTTTTCTATGTTCATTAAACTGTGTGTGCTGAGAATTTAATACAGGATAACAATGCGAAGAGGTCATACATTTGTGTTTTTGTGGGAAGGTATTAAATTTCTTTTACAAACTAGTTAGGATGTTCCTAGAAGCATGCTGTTGTATATAGACCAGAAGCCTTATCATGATTCTATGTGTGTCAAGAAAGCCTTAATGAAATCATCTCAAGAACATTTCTTCCCAAAAAGGCTTATATTCGCATAAGTCAAAACGAGCTACCTTACTCTTCTCAAATGAGTTAAGAGTTTTCTATTTTGTCCATTATAACAGAGGTACACTTTGATTCTTATCCAGTCTTTTTAAACCAAACAATTCTTTTAATCCAAATTTTTTTTTTTGCAAAAGATTTGTCCTTGAGGTCTTTGGTCAAACCAATCAAAAACTAGACAAATCACAATTCTGTGTTTAAGATCTAACATCATGAGACCGTGATGAAAGTGAAACCCAAAATTCAAACACCTTTAAGGAATTGACGGGGGACTATGTTACAGATCTTACGAAGTTTTCACTTTAGCACCTTTTGTACTCCAAATCATATTCATTTCTTTTGAGTGATCTTAATCAAACATTTGAAAACTACGATGTTTGTTCCCAAATAGATCCAACATAATTTTTTTTATGAATATGATTTCAGTGTGAGTATATTTTCAAAATCTTTGTTACTTTGAATATCATTCGTAACCAAGTTGTCGCTGACTACACTGGTCATACAACTAATTTTGTTTACAATTACTCACCTTATTTTAAGGTTGATATGTAACAAAATTTTCGAGGATACCAAATGTGTCCAATAAAAGAAACCCTTCGAAACTTCTTTACAAGTTATCGATTGTATTTCACGGGAAACCACACAAGCTGTCAATTATCTCTCTTGATAATTTTCGAAGATATCTTTGCCTGGGATAACATTGCTTTTATGTCAAAGAAATTATTGACATCACGAGTTTTCAAAAGTTTTTTTTCATTGCTTCTCATCTAATTTCTGTTGGCACACAGCACACACGAAATCCTTGAGGTTTGAGTAACACCAACTTAAACTGATGATTTCGAAACTCTGGCAAATGATTTCGCTTTCTAAACCCCAAAGTGAAAGAGCCTGACCTCCATTCCGAAGGCATCCGACGGTTACAATTTGTTTGGGGAACACCAAACGGTCCTATCTCTTGATGACGTATCATGTAGGATAAGCGTGAATGGCGTATTGACAGTTACGATTGTTACTTTTTGATGAGTGCATTCCGGGTTTCAAGGTGCCATGTCAGCAAGCATTTAATGCATCCCGCTTCAAATTCAAAAATTCTAGGGTTACATATAAAAGGGAACGTTACAACTTCATAATCCATTATGCAAATCATCTTCTTCAGAAAATCAAAAACTCTCTCTGCAAATCATCTTCTTCACACAATTCTTTTCTTCAACTCATCTACAATGGCAGATACTTCATCACCAACCACTGACGAGATCATCAGTGTTCCAATCTTGAAGATCCAGGGTTCAAACTATCAAGTAGAATCAGATTTGTTGAAATATCCGGAAGAACTAAAGATGCTGGTGGTTGCTTTACAGAACTCTGTTCTGTCTAAAGCCATGTTCCAATTGTTTGCTGCACCAATGTCTTGGTTATCGAAGGCCGGTTCTACAGCTTCTTACAACAAAGAAACCGGGTGTGTGGAATTCACCATGGTTATTGGTACGCGAATTCGGGTTTCCAAAAGATTGTTTTGCAAGATTTTGGGAATTCCAAATTCTGGTCCATACGATGAACTCACGTCTTCGCAAGTGATATACATGTTCAATGAGATGGGTCACCAACCTCCATTGACACGTATAAGTGATTTCAAGAAGTTAGGTCTACCAACCATTTGGAATTTTTTATTTGGCATCTTCCTCAGATGTCTTACTGGCAGAATGGTGGACTTAGACAAAGGTAGAATGGAGGTATATGCAATGGTTGCAGGGCTTTACTATGACTTACAGGTGGATTACTCTGAGCAGTTGTGGACCGAGTTTATTACAAGCATTACGAAGACGAGTGCTAAACAGGGAATTTCTTGTGCCAGATATTGGAGTTTGATTGTCCAATATGTATATCAGAAGGAAAAGATCGAGGTACCGGATTCCGAAGAAAAAGCTGTATTCCACATGTACGGGAGTCCGAAGGAAGTACATGACGATCCGACAATTTTTACCTCAATAGCCAGAATTCCAGATGCAATGTTAAAGAAGGTGGATCCTACGAACAAAGTGTTGGTGTCATACTTACAATCAATTGACACAACAGTTGTGACTGGGAAGTTACAACAAGAAGCCACCAAAAAGATGAAGAAGTCCAAGAAGACGAAAGGGGGCTCTTCGGAAAAAGAATTAAAAGACGACCTACATCAAGCACTCATTGGTCCTTCCTCAACTGTTGAAAAGGTGTCTCCAGTCTTGACATCAGTTTCTGATACTCCAGTAATTAAAGCTTCTCCATCAAAGGAAATGATTCCTTCGAAGACGGGAGTTTTTTGAAGAATCAAGATAAAGCGAAAGTCTCAGTTGGTGAAGAAAACGCAGGTTACTCACCAAGGGGTTACAGTTCGTGAAGTTTCAGCTCCTGTGTCTCCATCTTCGAAAAAGAGAAGGGCTGAAGAAATGGCAAAGTTCTTGAAGAAACCTAAACCTGTCGAAGATGAAGAACTTGTGCCTGAAACTCCTGAAGCTGATATTCCAAAAGAAGTAGAAATATTTCAATATACTGAGATTTCGAAACCTGCTGACGTCAAGATTCTAGAATCAACGACTCTATCACAGGCTACTTCTACCATCGATTCTCATACATTCCAATCTATCATGAATCAACCCTTCACCACAATTTTTTCAACACAGTCTACTGAACCACCACAATCTTTATCACCTATTGCTGAAACAATGGCAATTGATGAAGAAACTGACAACGAAGGGTTTGGGGGAACTTTCGAAGATCTTTCTTTTGATAAATCAGAAGAAGATTTCCCGAACCATATGATAATGACGATGAAGCAGTTCAAGATTTTGAATTCCAAATTGAATTCAATCTTACAATCTCAAGCAGATGTCGGAAATGCTGGAGTCAATCTTTTGCAAGTTGATTCATTAATGAAAGAGATGGAAAACAGGTTGCTATCGAAGAATTCAGGGCTCATTCGTGATTCAGAAAGCCGAATTTTAGAAAAAATTGATCAGTCTGATAGTTCTACTGAGAATAGAATCAAGTTTCTAAGAACTGATTTCTTGAAGGAAATTAAATATTTGAGGATGGTTACGAAGGAGCGTTATGTGCTCTTCGTACAGGAGGTGAAGAAGGTTAGAGAAGATGTGAATATGCAAATTAGAGAACTTCATGAAGAAATGAAGAAAGAAGTTCAAACTCTTAACCAGGGGTATGATTCTGCACATCAGAAGATTGACATTATTTGTGATGTTGTTGTTCAGTGTGTCAAGAGGTTTGAACCGCTCAAATCACAGATGACTTCTCTGTCAGCAACTGAAGTTCAACATTTCGGAGAATTAGTGAATCTAATGAAGGAACTCAAAGATATCTCTTTGAAATCCTCTACTTCGATTATCTCTCAAGAGTATCTATCTCATAAATTTCTTCATTTCGAAGCCATTCTTCAAAAGCATCTTACTCCACTACTTCGAATCTCAAGCCTATTGCCAAGTATATCAGATGCCCCACCTGCTGTCACAGGGGTGCAAGGGGGAGATAAGAATGTTCAAGCAAAGGCTGGGGAGCATGAGATGAAACCAGAAGATTCGAAGGCTCCAGTCAAACCAACAATTGTTTTAGCCGCTCCAGTCATTTCGACTGTGACTACAACGATTCCAATTTCAAGACCTAGTACAAAAGGTATTGTAATTGGGAATGTTGTTTCTTCGAATGTTTCTTCTTCAAAGGGTGTTGCTCCTTCAAATGAGAAAGACAAAGGAAAAGGAATCTTGATTGGGAAGACAAACAAAGAAAAGAAAGCTGAGGTGGCAGCTGAAATAGAAAGAATGAGGCATGTGGAAAGTATTATGCAACAAAGAGCTCTTGAAGGTTCGAATGTCAACAAGGGAGATCCTTCGAAAATTTTTAACTATGAAATTATCGAATCAAGAGTGATGTTTGACCATATGTATTCCTTTGAGAAGATTCCTAAGAAGAGTTATGTGGTGACAAACACTGATTATGGGCAACTCGACTTTCCAATTAATGAGTTGATGTTCATCATGCCACAGTTTAAAGCAGAGTCAAAGAATATGGATGTCGAAGAAGGAAAAAAGATGAAAATTCAATTTCATGCCGTGTTAGCTAAAGCTCAAGAAGAAGTCTGGTATTCAGAGAAGATTAAGAAGGTGATATCCATAAAAACGGATGTCTTATTCGAAGGAAAGTTTGAGAACTTGAAGTATATTGTATCAAGAGCAAGTGGAAAGATACAAGAGTTCACCATAGCTGACTTTCTGTTGATGAACACTTACGATCTCATCAATACTGCGTTGATTCTCAAAGACAAGTCCTTTTCTTATCTTCAAGAAACAGAACCTGATGTCTTCAGTCTTGGGTGTAGGCATATAAAAGTTTTCTTAGAAAATTATTTCGAATGCCTAGCTCAAACTGATATCGAGCTTGTTACTGTCAAAGGCATTGACATCATTGTTCCGATGGCTCCTACAAAGAAGCAGGTGGAATTGAAGAAATTCAAATACAGTGAAATTTGTTTAAAGCCTTTGGGGATAGTCTTCGCTGGAAAAGACAAATCTGGAAAGGCCAAGAGATTCCTGTTTCAAACTTCTGAAGTAGAAAGATATACTAATTCGCAATATACGAACTTCATTGTTCATATGAATCATTGCAAGAAAAATTCAGAAGGAGACAAGAAAGAGATAAAGAAAGTATCTCTTGGTACATGGAAATTCGAAGGGTACTGATGTATGCTATACAACTACTTACTTCATAAGACTTCGACCATCATTCCAAAGGGGGAGATTGTTAGGGTTTGTATTGTAATATGTTGAAGTATTGTTTTTGTTACAAAGAGTTGTTAGTCTTCAATATTAGCAATATTAGTTTCACTATTAGATGTAGAATTCTCAGTCTTTTTCAAAATTCGAAGTTGTTCTGATTTAGTTAAGGTTTCATTTACAATTTTTACTAGATCATCAGCATCAAGATAATCTTCTACTTTTGCAATTCCATATCTAAATCTATCATCTGGAACTTTGTTAAAATCAGAGATTTCTTTTTCACAATCATATGAAATACTATCAACCTTAGCTCTATCATAAGCTAAAAAAGGTAGTAATTTTCTATGTTGTTCCTTACTAATTTCACATGAATGATGTAACTCAGTTAATTTTCCATATAATCTTTTTGCTGAATTACAAAAGATATTTCTCTGGGCTAACAACAAATTTATTTCTTTTCCTAATTTTTCTCTATCTTCCATGATATTTGACACTTGTAATTCTAAGTAATCAATTCTAGTGATTTTTGAATCCAGCATTTTTCTTGTCTCTAGTAATTGATCACTTAACTTTTTGGCTTTACTGCTAGCAGACACAACGATTGAATCAAAGTAAATAATAGTTTCATCAAAAGATACTAACTCAGAATTATATGCAGAAACTGGAATGTTAAAAGATTCAAGAATATTACGTACCTTAGTAGTCATAGGCGATTTATCAGTAGACTTCGAAACGAAGCATCGCCCACACACTTCGTCAGTCTGTTCATCATCTGAATCTTCTTCCATTTTTGCATACATGGCTCCATGAGTTAGATTTTTCATTTCTTCATCATCTGAACCCGAAGACCATATTTGATATGTGCCATCTGATTCATTTTCTCCATGAGCCATCAATGACAAATTCTTTGCATTCTTCTTGATTTCCTCCAGTTTCTCTGTGTATTAAGCTTCATCTTTTGTTTTATTCTTCTTTTCTTCCTTCTTTCTCAACAAACAATCCACAGCCAAATGATTTGCTCCATAACAATAATGACAATTGATTCCTGTATCACCTTTCAATTGCATCTTCATTTTCTCCATCTCATTCTTCGGATCTGTCTTCATATCTATTTTCTTCTCATCCAGTTTGTTTTTGTTCTCAAAGCTTCCCTTCGAATCCGATGACTTATTTGGATTAAAAGGTTTCTTAAAAATTTTCTTTACCCTATTGTTTGTGTAAAAAGCAATTGCCTCATCATCAGAATTCATCAGAAAACCTTCGTCTTCATCAAACTTTGTTTTATCAATTTCTCTTTCTGAGACCTTCAAAACTAGAGCCAAAGAACCACCAAGACTTGTTACAGCTTCTTCATCTATTTCATTAACTTCATTTTCATGAGATTTCAATTGATTGCATAAGTCATTCAAAGTCGAAGTATCAAAACTTTGTTGATTTTTCACCATCATACTCACACTCCTCCACTCCTTTCGAAGTCCCATCACAAATATCAAATTGTACTCCTTTGATGACCTGATTATACTATAACGATTACAACGATAGATTAACTCATTGAACCTATCATAGTATGCTTCAATTGACTCATTTTCTTTTTGTTTAAAGTATTTGAGTTGCACCAGACATTGTTTTACTGATGTGATTTTCGTCTTTTCACTTCCTTGAAATTTATCCTTGAGATTGTTCCAGATGTCTTTAGCTGTTTTGCATGTTTTGACATAATTGTACACTACAGGAGGTAATGCACCTCTTAATTCCCTCATGCATCTCGTCTCCAGACGTTTTAAACGTTCAGTTTGATTGTCAACTTCTGAACTGCTTGAAGACACTCCGATTGGCTGAACTTGTGCAGGTTGATTAACATCTCCTGTGATACACTTCCATAAATCTTCATCCAAACCGTTCAAGTAATCTTCCATACGATCTGCCCATTTATCATAACATTCTGGAATGAGCATTGGAATTTTTGTGGATGATCCAAGGAAATGAGAAAATGAAGTCATCGAATTAAGATTGAATGACGCCATTGTTGTACGGACAAAAACTTCAAGATGAAACTTGACTTTTGAGAATTATGAAAATCAAATTGTATAATTCAATTCAGAATTACACAAAGAACACTCGATTAACAAAAAAATTTTGCAGAATCAAATCCTAAATTGAGATCTAGATGAAAATTTCAAATTCAAAAAGGATGGAAACTTTTTGAATCAAACAGTAGATTCGAAAACCTTTTTGATCGAATGAAAATCAGATCACAGAAAGGATTCCAACTCTGATACCAATTGAAGAGTTTTGTAATCGAGTTTAAAGATCAATTTATGTAAGAATTAAAGAAAAAGAATCACGATGAACAAGAGAGTAAATATAATCTTGTATCAGCTCATATTATGCTTTCTGATTTACAGAGAATAACAGAATTCTCCGTAAAGAGTGTGAAAAGTCTCTCTTTCTCACATTGTATAGACTCCTATTTATAGGCGTACAAAAGCATAATAAACTACTAAGGACTAGACATTAAAGCTTAGATAAAATGCCTTAGTAATTATAACATTACATTCGAAGACACAACTTACGAAGACTAACAACTCTTCGTAACAAAAACAATACTTCGACATATTACAATACAAACCCTAACAGTGGTCTTTCTAGCAAGAAGAGGAGTCTTTCGTGAGAGAGAATTTATAAGCCAAGGGGAAAGTAGGAGGCAAATTGACCTTGAAGAACTTCAAGAGTCAAGTGGTGAAGGATCCTCAAATATCACTATTGAAGGTGATACATTTATCAGTGATAGTACACTAAAAGATTTAGATGAACCTAATAATTATAAGGAAGCCATGGCAGGCCCTAAGTCTACAAAATGGAAGGAGGCTATGGACAGCGAGATTCAGATCATGTATAACAATCAAGTTTGGAATCAGGTTGACAGTGTACCGATTCGTAAGACAGTTGGGTTCAAATGGATCTTCAAGATAAAGACTGACATGGATGGGAAGGTACACACATACAAGGCGCGACTGTTTATGGAGGGCTTTACTCAAACTCCAGGAGTTGACTATGACGAGACCTTCTCGCCAGTAACGATGATTAAGTCTATTAGAGTTTTACTGGCCATAGTTGCATTTCATGATTTTGAAATATGGCAAATGGATGTCAAAACCGCTTTCCTTAATGGAAAGTTTGATAAGGATGTTTACATGGCTCAACCAGAGGGTTTTTTCGATACAAAATACCTTAATAGAGTGCGTAAGCTTAAGAAATCCATTTATCGATTAAATCAAGCATCTCGCAGATTGTTAAAACTAGAAATTTTGTGTCTTGTAATCACTAAACTCAAGTAAGATGTTGAATCAAAAACTTAAGAGCATGTATGATGCTTATTGTATGACAACAAAATTTCAATCCAATACGTCATACAAGTACTACAAGTAGTCAACAAGCAATTGGAAACCCTAGAAGTTCTTGTTTAGGTCCATTTTGGACTAGGACTTCCTTATTGGACTCAATGGACCAATAAGCTTCCAATTTGACTATCATGGGATTAGAACCTTTAAATGGGCTCTAATTGGATCCACATTCATTTATTTCAACATTTTGGGCCATATTGGGCCTATAATGAAATAAATTAAATATTATGAACCATAATTAACCTAAACTAGCCCAACAAAGTGTAAAAATCATATAATATTTTTTTTTGGGCCAAAGATCATCCAAACTAAGTATAATAGGGGCTTAGGGGGCATTAAAGCCCAATGATCTCCTTTCCCTTCCAAATTCTCTGCCCAAAGCCCAAATCCAAGAAGAAAGGAGTTGACTTAAGCCTTGCCACCTCACTTATACCCCACATATCTCCATGCATGGACCAACATGCATCTGGGATTGTCAACTCAACTCTCTCTCTTATCTTCTTCTTGATCTCGGCCGAAAGCACCCACACACACAGACTTTCATCACTTTTCCCATCTCAAACACTCTCAAAAACACCTTCACCTCTCTTCACTAAATTTTCGAAGATTCAAGGGCATTTCAAGGAGAATCTTTCACAAAAATCACCATCCAAGGTAAGGTTATACTTAAATCTATGATCTAGGTTCCTTGATCTATCAAACATCTCTTCTTAACTCATAAGAAATCATGATCTTGCATCCTGGAATCACCTCAAGGCCGAGATCTTCATCAAAGTGTGTTAGGGCCGAAAATCACCTCATTTTCTTCCATCTTTTCTACAAAACCGAAACCACACCCAAAGGTCACCTTCATACCCCTTTTCTTTCGGTTTTATAAGTTTTGTGCGGGGGGGGGGGGATACAAGCAAATGTGTAGATATATGAGTATATGTATGCTTGTATGATTTCTATGCTTATTTACATGTTTATATGTGATTATGGTGTTGAAACTAGTTAAAAGACCTTAAAAATCGAGATTTGCATTAGGATGTAGGAAACAAGTGTTAAACATATTACTACACACAAATCATTTCTAGAAAAATAACCAAGTTGGTTAAAATGAACTCATTGGGCTAAAAATCCCATTTTTGGACTCAAAATGTTACAAATATAAAGCTAAAGGGACCAAAATGACAAAATACAAATTCTGATGGATGAAATGAGTCAAAACAGTTTTAATAAGGTATTTTTCTGGAAATATTCTCTTTGGAGGATTAAATGTGAAATTTTTAAGCATAATGGGCCAAAAATGAATTTTTCTGCCCAATAAAGCACAATATGCGATATTTTCAAATTAGAGGGGTTGAAACTATGATTTTCTGTAAAACAGGGGACTACTAGTGTACCAAGCCCATTTCAAGAGTTAAAAATGCTTTTCATATTTAAAAGGGACCAAAAATGCAAAATTTTTCTATTTTGTGCCAAAAGTGTAAAAACTACGAAATTGAGGGTTCTAGTCGAGAAAAATTTCATTTGGTGGACCAAAACTGTTCTTCAAATAACTTTGGGCTGAAAAATAAC